TATCAATACATCTGAGAACCAAAAGAGGAGAAGCTGGTTAGATGAGGTGGTATGTGGGCCCCAATGCCTGCAGCAGGCTGGGCTGCTGACTTTGGGGAACAGATGTCACTTGAGTCCCGACCCATTATTCACCTAGCACTCCCCTATGTCCATCCGGGATCCCCCAGCATGCTGGATAAATAAAAGCCGTGCTCGTGCATTAAATCAGCATGAATTACACACCACTGAAAATACATAGAAGACGCAGAAATTGTGTCTTTCTTCCTGAGCATATGTGTTATGAAAGACTCTTAAAGAGACTGCAGAAACCAGAAGAAAGTGTTAGCATGTTTTTATAAAGGTTTTGAGTTGCATCTGATATTTGAGTGAGCAACTTGAAGGATATTAGCAAATACTTTTCAAACCTCAACAAATCTTGCATCTAAAAGGAGATCTTGGGGGCTGAGGATACAGCTCAGCGGCACAGTGCCTGCCTGGCAAGTGTGAGGTCCTGAGTTCAATTCCTGATATCAAATAAGAGAGAAAGAGAAAGAGAGAGATTGAGACCGAGACAAAGACCTAGAGAAGTCTTAAACTGGGTGTGATGATCTATGCCTATAATCTCATGATTAAGGCAGGATGACCACCGTGAGTTCAAGACCAACCTGAACTCCATAGCAACACCCTGTCTCAAACATGCAAACACACACACACACAAACAACAAGAACCAAGTCCTATAAATTTATTAATTGTGAATCTCCAGTGAAGGAAAAATTAAAACTGATCTGCATTAGTCCACTTCACCTGCTCTGTCATAAAATGCTACAGATCAGGGGCGGGAGGGGGGGCTTGACGACAGAATTTCACTTTCACACAGTTCAAGTCTGGGATCGAGATGGTGCAGGGAGGGTCAGCTAAGCAAGAGCCCTCTTCCTCGCCTGCAGGTGGTTACGACCTCATGTGACCCTTACTCTGTGCACAGACCACCTTGGGGTCTCCCCCTCTTCAAAGGACACCAGACATGTCACAGCCTACTGTGCCACAGTAGTGCCACAGCCTTCTCTGCTTATTTGACCTCCACTTCCTCCTTGGAGACCCCCATCTTCAAACGCAGTCATACCGGGGGTCAGGGCTCAATGTATGAATTTTAGGGGAAACAACTCAGTCTCACCCCCATGTACTTTTAACCAAAAATAGTTTGGCTGAGAGCACTATGCAGTAAGTGGACACAAAGAGCTCAGCATGTACAGGGTCCCAGATTCAATTCTTACTACGATAATAATATTAAAACATTAAAATAGTGAAAATTACAAGTACATTTTGGAGCTAAAATCAAAAGACAGATATAGCTGTATACAGCTTGTACTATACCATAGTTGAGAATGAAAAGCACAGAATGAATTTAATGCATGTATTGTTATTCTCATAGCTGGAGGTAAAATCTTTTTTTTAATTCCTGGAGGAACAAGCAAGCCTGCTAGATAGGGACTCTACTACTGGGCTGAATCCCCAGCCCCAGAGACAATTTTTGATTTGCTGTTTTCCTGCTTTTCCTCTTCCCATGACAGTTAAACTGGATTATCAACTTTAATGCCTCAGGAGCCACCCAGGGGTTGGTGCAGCACACTCCTGTGTGAGTCTGAGTGGGTCATGGCAGCTTGGCCTTGGCAATCCATATGTGGCCCCTCACCCTCCTTTTTTTTTATTTATTTATTTATTTATTTATTTATTTATTTGTGTGTGTGTGGTCAGCTCAGCCCACCAGGGGGTGGGGCTGGCTGGCATGTGGTGCTGGGGGATTGAACCGCGGTCCCTGTACTTTGCTAAGCTTGCTCCAAGTAGGTGCTTTAGACCACTGAGCCATCTCACCAGCCCCTCACCCTCCTTTCAGGCACTGTCCCATGTTCTGCTACCCTGCTAACAGGAATAAGCATTTTTGCTCCACTAGGCCCTTCCACCATGACATTTCTACCTTGGAGTGGCCATGGACTGAATCAGCTTCAACTATAAGCCAGGCTAAAGCCCTCCTCCTTTAACTTGCTGTGTTCTAGGGCAAGCAAGCTGATGTGTATACCCCTCCCATTCATCTTTTCTGACTGTATTAATCTCTCTTTAAGTTCACAGAAAGCATTGATTTGTACTGGGTTCCTCTAGGAGACCCACCAGACCAAACCAATGTGGAAGCATGTGAAAGCCGTACATTAGGCTGGCCAAATAGCTCAGTGGATTAAAGTGCATGCAAGCAGGTGCAGGGGCTAAGGGTTTGATCCCCAGGCCTGCCATGCTGGCCCTGCCCCAGGGGCGAGCTGAGACTGCAATTGAGACTGGGCTTGGTGGCACGTGCCTATAATCCCAGCACTTAGGAGGCTATAGTGAGACCCTGAACACCCTGTAGACCTTTCCCCAAAATACAGAAAAGAAAAGAAAAGAAAAAAGAAAAGAAGCCCTGCATTACCAAGTTCAAGGTAAAGTGTTTGTCTGACCTTCCAGGAAGTCAGGAAAGAGATAAGAACCAAACTCCTCAAGCAAGCCAGCTGTGGCCACTGTGACAAGGAAACGCCTTCAACTGTAACCTTTGTGAGGGAAAGCAACACCAAAATGATCGACCCATTCATTTTTGTTCTCAGCTTCTACTTCCTCCCGCCCTTTTCTGCCTGTCAAACTTCTTCACTCAGTGACTCAGTACACTCATTCTATTTGATGAAATAGAATGTTTCCAGGTTTAAAATCACAAATGAAACCAACTGCAGCCAGCACAGTGGTGTATGCCCATCTCCAGCTACACAGGAGGCTGAAGCAGGAGGACGGGAAGCTCAAGGCCAGCCTCAGCAAATCACAAAGACCTCGTCCACAATGATCACAGTGAAGTATCACCTTGATTGGCTTTGGGATCCCATCATTTTGGTGGAACACATGTCGGGGCGCATCTGGGGTGTCAGGGAGGCATAGCCATGGGGCCCCTGCGTGGTCCTTTGTCCTTTCCACCCAGACACTGTTCCCCTGCTCTGCTTCTGGCCACCAGAAGCTCCTCCTTGTCCTTCACCCATAATGTCTCTGCCTTGGAACCAGCTGCTCATAGACTGAAATCATGAACTCATGGGAAAGCTGACCAATATACTGTGTCAAAATAAAACATAAAAAGGGCTGGGGATGTACTTCAGGGGTAGGGCAACACCAAGCACGCACACGCCTCCAAACTCAGTCCTCAGTATCACACACATGTGCACCAATTACAATCCTTAAGGTAGAGTAGCTTTGTCTGTTGACAATTCTAAAAATCCAAAGTTCGCTCATTCTAGGCTATATGCTCTCTGAAAACACAGGTCATTTCTTTGTTTCTTTTTCTTTCTTGCAGTACTGGGGATTGAATCCAGAGCCTTCACACTCAGCCACATCCCATTGCTTTTCTTTTAGTTTTGGAAAGAGTCTCTCTAAGTCTCTAAAATGCCCACCCTGGGCTTGAACTCATGAGCCTGAACTCCCACCTCAGCCTCCCAGATTGCTGGGATTACAGGTGTGCACCACTGCACCTGGCTTTGATCATACATCTCGTGTTAAAGTCAGCACGTTACCACAAACACATGAGGTAAAGAAGATATTCTTTCCCTTTGGAGGCAAATACTGTCATCCCAAGCAAAGAGGCTGAGCCCACGGGGTGACTGTGTCCAGTTTCTTCCTGCGCGTGACCAACATCACATCATGACTGGTATTTCTCCAGGGTGTGTAAGAAAACTTCTATCTTGTGTGTCCTGCCCTGACAAAACAGGTTTCCCACTTAAACTTGACTTCTATTACATTTTAATGGTCATCCATTAGTTTATTTGAGCTGAAAAGTAAAGGCATGGACAGTAGTACAATAAGGGAGGAAAAGCGCCAGGCTGTAAACCTAACTCAGGGTGATAACAACCCTGGTCATGAGCGTTGAGTTTACAAACTACAGCAGGATCACGCTGGAGATAAGTGTCTGCCCCCAGTGAGTGGCCATCAGGCAGCTGACAGGGAGCAGAGAGGATTAGGTGCTCAAGCGACAGCCCTGCGTGGTGACCTGGCCTCCTGCCAGGGCTGACCTCTCTGGCAGCTCAGCCAAGCAGGGATAAGCTCCCTCCTCCCAACAGAACCCTGTTATGTCAGCTGGCCTGCCGGTGCTAACCACCGCCCTGCCCGTGGCTCTGTGCTACGTATACATAGCACAGCAGCTCTGCTAGCTTGTTCTAGTGCTAACCTGGCCCTACAAAATCACTCAGACCTTGACCTGTGTTTTGTTTCTTGGGGGTGGGGGCCTGCTGGAGGTTGGACACGTGCTGAGCACACACTACGCCACTGAACTGTCCATCTTCGTGGCACCAAAGCCACCTGGGCAGGGCAGAAGCCCAGACACCTATGGAGCCAGCAGGCACTACCTGCCACCCTGGCAGGAAGACAAAGCTTCTGCAGAGAGGTGCAACACAGAGCAAGGGCCTGGCTCAGCCAAGAGAAACTGTCAACATCCAATCCTTCCTGCCCTATGTAAGCAGAGATTTCGGGCATGGTGGCACACAGCTGTAATCCCAGGGAGGCTGAGCCAGGAGGATCACAACCTCACTCAAGCCCAGACTGGGTGATTTAAGTGATTTCATGGTACCCTCTCAAAATTCGAAAATAATTTTTTTATATGTATTTAGTACAGGTTCTACAGGGTCTCACTACACAGATCATGGTGATCTGTGGGACTCGTGGTGACCCTCCTGTTTTCAGCCTCCCAAGTGCTGGGATTACAGGCACACACCACCACGCCCAGTCTCAATCACCATCTCAATCAGCATCCCTGGGGGCGGGGCCAGCACAGCATGCCAGAGTTCGAACCCCGGTCCCTGTGTCTGCCTAAGCAGGCACTTTAATCTGCTGAGCTATCTGGCCAGCCCTCATAAATAAAAATTTAAAGGGCCGGGGTTGTATACCTAAACCCCACAAGAAAAAAAAAAAAAATAGAAATTTCATGTGGGTCAACTTACTATATTCATAACTAACTCTTTTTTTTTAAAGATGTTTTTAATTGAATTAATGAGATAAAAAGATAGTGAGGCCCTGTTTGCTACTTACATGAAAGAAGATTTTTAAAAATAATCACTGCACAAAATACAAAGGGTATGGTTATGCTGTGGCATTAAATTTTTCTCCATGTTTTTCTTGGCTGTTCAAGAGCAAATTAAAGTTTCCACAGCAAATTTGTTTTCAAAATGCCGAATTGTGATACAATCGCTGGCTTCACGTTTCTGAATACCTTTAATAGTTTCTCTGCGCTGCAATTTGTAAGTTTCCTTGTCCTGGCACAGTCGATAAATAAAGAAACCCAAGCCATCAATATTTTCAATTCGATCAGTAATAACCATGTGTTCATGAATCAGGTATGACTGAGGCAAATAGGTTCCAGCCTTGATGTTAATGAGTAACTCCAACAGGTTTCTGGGAGGCATAACAATGGAAGTATTCAGGGGGATCACATAGCACTTATCCAGGTTAAGATCTAAATAGGCAGTGAGTTTCTTGTTAAAATCATGAACAATGTTGGCAGGATCACTATCTGCAAATTCTGGAACAGGCACACTGATGAATTTGTCCTCATCTTCTTTAAAGATCTTAATATTTTCTTCAGTTGTCTGGTAGCGAGCAGCTGGGGCATCTGCAGAAGGCTCATTTAGGATGACATCATCTTTGATGTACTTTATTCCACAGTAGTACATGTCATCTGGTTGAAGTGCAAAATATTTGTACAGGTATGCTCCTCCAAGAATGACTCCTGCAAGCATAAATGCTAGTCCAAAGCACATGCACCAACACCAGGCTCTTCTCTGGCCAACTGGTACCACATCATCTGGGTCCTTGCAGTCCAAGGCGACGGCGTCCGGGGGGATGATGAGCGCCTCCTCGCCGCTCTTCGGCTCGTCCTTCTTGGCGTCCTTCTGGGCCAGAGCCGAGTTGAACGTCACCTTCACCATGGTGCGGCCTGGGGCGCCCTGGAGCGGGCTGGAGGCGCGTGCTATGGGCTCCCGGCTGCAGCTGCAGCCTCCTCGACCCTGCTGGGGTAGCAACTCCGCGGACGCTGACGGGGTCGGGCGGCTGTGCAGCGGAAGAAGCGGCTAGTGCAGCTGGGCTCTCGCCTTCGCTTCATAACTAACTCTTATACAGCACATTCTATGTGCCAGGCAAGGTTCTAAACTCCCTACACACACACACACACACACACACACACACACACACACAGGCTTCTAATCTCATCATGGAAACACCTGATGCCTAGGTGCAGTGAGGAGAGAAAAGATGGACTGAAACAGCACAAACTTGTTGCCTGAAGCAGAGAAAAACACTAGCCTCTCTGGGCTGCTCTGGTCCACAGGCTTGGGCAAGGACTCTTCGCTTTGTCAGCTGGTGTACGCATCACAAAACCCCGCATGGGAAATGTCATCATCTCCGCTTGCAAATGGGAGGGTGGGTGACTGAAGCCAATTGTCCAGGTACAAATTCTCAACGGCAAATGTGATCATTAGGTATGTCTAAAATGTACCAATAAAATCTGATTTAAAAAAAAAGAAGCCGCTGCCAACTGTCCCCAAATTCTACGAGGGGCAGGATCCAGGTTCTGACCATCGTTCTACTCCTGCTTCTGCACTCTACGCCGCTCAGCGCTTTCTGATCCCAGCAGGGAAATTAACTCGGGAGATCTAATCCAGGCAGTCTGACTGCTGGCAGAGAGCAGGCTCGGCTCTGGAGGAGCAGAAGGTCCTTGGGAACAGCTCCCAGCTGTGGTCGCCTGGCGTGCCCTTCACCATGCAGTGGTCCAGCTGCCAACAGAAAAGGCCACTTCAGCGAACGTTTAGGGCCTGAGCACCCTGGGTCACTGCCGGAGAAATGGAGTTTGTCGCTCTTGGTCTGGCACCTTTTTCAATATTCCTTATCAGCCAAGAGAGCCGCTGCCATTACATTACATCACATCACGATGGGCATATTACAATTTCCGAGATTGCATCTTATCTGACATTAGTTACATTTTAGGGTTGTTGCTTCCTGGCACTTTAATTTCATAAGTAAGCTATCTCCTGATCGCGGAGGAGGATGCATCACAGCTGCTCCGTCCGCTCCATTCCCCAGGTCTCATTTCCACAAGCTAATGTGCTCTTCCCCGGGCTGGGATTTCAGCGTTCTCTCTACTAGGTCCACGGCCTCCTCCCCATTAACTGTAATAAGGAGTGATAACATTCTTTACCTCAATTATTTTGTTTTCTATTTTTGTGTTCGGCATGAGAGAAACCACAGGCAGAACCTGATGGTGTCAAATTGGTATCTTGATAGCAAAGTGACACCTTTTACAACAAACAGGCCATCGAACTCCTAAGGAAATTTTCTCCTTGCTGTTATTAGTTTTAAGGACAGGAATTAGGTGTCATGTAAAGAAGCAGGGAGAGTGTAGCTCCATGCAGTACAACCAGCGAATCTTCAAGGCTAACAGGCATAAGGAGAGAACATGTTTTTACAAAACATAATAATGATCCACACTTCTATCCTACCACTGATGAGCCAAAGAAAATCTTTGCATGGAGCCGCTGAGGCAGGAACAGGCCCCCAAACCACCTCCCACTGGCTTGGGCTACACCCTCAGGGGGCAAGATCCAGTATTTGAGGAGGGAGGAGATGTAGACCCACTGCAGTTCCTCAGAAAATGCACTCCATTGCCGTAACAAATACCTGAGATAAATGAACTTAAGAAGAGAAAAGGTATCTTTTGGCTCCAGTTTTGGAGGATTTGATTGTTGCTTTGGGCCTGTGGAAAACCTGCACATTCTAGCCTGGGGTGCACGGTAGAGCCAAGTGTTCATCTCTTAGCCAGGGAAGAACAATAAGAGAAAAGGAGGAGCCAGGTGTCCCACAAGCTCCTTCACAGCACTCCCCCTCCAGCCACAGAAGAGCGCCTGCTCAGCCCCACCTCTGGAGAGCCCACCATCTCAAGCTGGATGTGATAGTGCGCACCTGTGATCCTAGCACTCTGGGAGGCTGAGACATGAGGACGCCCAAAAGTTGGAGCCCAGACTCAGCAATTCATGACTTAGACAGAGGCCACGTCAAAATTTTTGAAAAAAAAAAAAAAAAAAGTTTCTAAAAAGGAAGTCTGGGGGTGTAGCTCAGGGCGAAGGCCCTGGGTATAATTCCACTGCCACAGCCAGTCCAGTATTCCTAGCAGCTCGTGGCAGCCTTACTTCACAGGCCTTGGGGGGATAACCATCCTAATCATAACAACTCCCTCACATCGCAGTCTCGAAAAGGAAAAGAACAAAAGGGGAACCAAGGAGTTGATGCTATTAAAAAGATGAACTCTAGGGCATAACTGGATGACAAACAACAGTTTCTGCTGGTGAGCACTCTCTGCAGAACTGCCTTTCCTTCTGCCCTGACTCTACTGGACCCACAAACTTAGTTCAATTGTTTGCAGTTGTCTCGTTACTCTTCTCTCATCGTTGGGACAAATACCCAACACCCAAAATGAAGGAAGGAAAGGTTTAGGTAGCTCACAATTAATGGAGGCGTCAGCCCATACTCAGCTGGCTCCAAGGTGGAGTGGTACATGGCAGAGAGCAGCCGTGCATGGTGGCAGCAAAGAGGAAGAGCAAAGGGAGGAGCAGCAGCAACAATGGCTGCAATTGCAGATTGCACAGAAGCAAGTCTCTCTCCTCCTCATACTGCTTTCAGGCTCTCTGCACCAGGCTGGGTGTAGCACTCACACACAGAATCCCGGCAGTACTTAGCCCCATAATCCCTGCCTTGGATCATGAATTAATCACAAACTCTAGAATGGCGCCCCACAGCTGCATGAGGCTTTACGGGGACAGCTAGACACAAACCATAACAACAGTTGACTGCCTCGAACTGATAGTTCTGTTCTTTATAGGTAAAGATTTTTTTTTTTTCCCATTTACTGGAAAAACTCAAAATTTTCAATGGCTTTCTTTCCCCCTGGATGGATTTGCAAAGTCTGCCTTAGACGAAAATACACATTTTATGTATTAAATATTTATTCTATGGGGTAGGGAGTGGGAATAAAGTTGTACTGTTTAAAACTATTTATTATAGATTTAATGTCTCCAAACTTCACTGGCTGAATTTAGACACCAGAGGGATGGAATGCTAAAACTCACAAACTCAAAAAAGAGTGACATGACTGGATTTTTAAAAATAATTTCCCCCATCATACACAATCTAATGGGTCTAGCTATGAGGGGACAGTTGAGAGTACAGTGAGCAGAGAAGAGTTGGGACACAGATGGCCTCACTGCAGCACAGCCCAGAAACTTGAGGGAACTCCAAGCCACCATGTTCTATGTTATTTGCACACTCAACACACACTCCTAACTCCTGTGCTCCCACACATGTCACAGGGACTGAAAGGCTGATAGCCTATATTATTCACAGTATCATAAGAAGCCACAGGAGCCAGGAAGATAGCTGGGAACCGGGGAGATGGCTCAGTGGAATAAGCGCTTCCCTGGCAAGTGCAAGGGCCTGAGTTCAACCCCCAGTTCCACCAAAAGAAGAAGAAGAAGAAGAAGAAGAAGAAGAAGAAGAAGAAGAAGAAGAAGAAGAAGAAGAAGAAGAAGAAGAAGAAGAAGAAGCCACAACTTCAGTTCCTTGTATGTGGCCTGCAATCCCAAAACCTGATGTTTATCCAGTACGTCAGATACAAAATTAAAATTCTCACTAGGTGAGTTCCATTTCTCAGACTCATACAATAAGACTCTGGGTGCAACAGAGGCCCTGCCCAGTGGGGTACTGACAAAGCAGAAGGAAGAAGAGGCTGAGAAGCCACAGCACTTCCCAGTGTCTGGGCGGCAGCTTGCTGGGTGTGCATGGGGTGGAAATGGCGGCAGCAGGAGCAGTCCCACCCTGTAGAATTTCAGGTGTGACTGAGAACCCAAAAAGTCCAGAAAGAGGGTGTGACGCAGGGCCAAGCACGCGCACTGCCTGTGAGGCCCAGCATCTAGATGAAGTCCAAAGATGCCCGAGCTCTCCTCAATCACGTCTTCACGATTGCATCAGCATCTCACTCCCTGCATTCAGTCTCTAGCCGCCAGAACTTTGGAGGTAGCTTCTGCTTCCCTCACCCAACCCGGGCGGGGGTGCCTGTTTCCTCTCCTGTCCAGATAGCCTACGGGACTGAGGATGAGGAGTGGGGGCCTCAGGGGAGCCCTCCGGAGGGCAAGAGTAAGGGCAGGAAAAGGAGAAAGTGGCTGGCGCCCCACTTCCCTGGCGGTGGCACGGGTGCCTGTGGCAACTGCACACGCACAAAGACCCCACGTTAAGTAACACGGAAGCGTGCAATGAAAGAGTCGTTTCCTCTTCAATTCCCTTTTAATCGTTTATGGGGAATTATTGGGTTGGGATTCAATTTCTCTAAAACTTACTGAACTCCTTTCTTTCCAGAGCCTTTTAAACCCAATGATACCTTGCTGGGATGTAAAGACAGTTTTCAATGTATTTCTTTTCAATCGTCGTCTCTGTAGGATAAGTGGTAAAAATTTTTCATTTATGTTAACTGGAAGGGTCTTTTTAATTTTCTTTTCCCATTTATTTATTTGGCACAGGGTCTCACTACACAGTTCAGACTTGTAGTGATCCTTCTGTCTCAGCCTCCCCAGGGCTGGGATCATAGGCGTGCGCCACCACACCCAGTTTTGCATGACTGGCATGGCACACCCAAAGTTCTGGGGCCAGCACAGCATGTGGTACCAGGAATGGAAGCTGGGTCCTTGCGCTTGCTAAGCAGGTGCTTAGACCACCCAGCTATGTCCCCAGCCCCATTAATTTTTATTTTCTTTTTTTAAAGTTTTTAGATTTTTTTAAAAAATAGAAACAATATAGCAATAAATATCCCATATCCTAACAGATTCAACTGCTGATTATGTATTTCAGTTTCTGTTCTATAATCTATAATTTCATTTTTTGAACAATTTAAAAGAAAATTACAGAACCAGCACAGTGACAGGAACTTATAATCCCAGCTCCTTGGGAGGCTGAGGCAGGAGGATCCCAAGTTTGAAGACAGCCTAGGCAATTTAGCAAGACCCTGTCTCAAAATAAAATTTAAAAGATCTGGGCTACAGCTCAGTAGCAGA